ATATGGCGGGAAATTTGAATTTCTTTAATTAGCTGTAACTTGGCGCCTAATTGTCCGATTGATATGGGGTCTTCACTAAAGTTGTTAATTTTGTGTTGCAAAAATGTCTGTAACGTTCTGTGCAACTTTTGATGTATTTCAATGGTGTTACAAAAATGTATCAATTTGATGACGTCATAATTTTTGGAAACACGAAAAAAATGTCATTATTGTACAAAAAATGAACTTTTTTTCTTCTTATGCACATTTCGTAATACTCTGCTTCATTTTGAACAGAGATTTGTCCCTATATTACTGAAGAGAGTTTCAGAGCCGCTGGTAGTTTCAGAGCCCGCGATGCGGGAGGAAAAGTCCTAGCAACAGACCATCGTGATTGATCATTTTACATTTCATGTATGGCACACGTGAGCAGTTTTTGATATCACAAGTCACTGGTTGTTCTGTATTACTAGTTGACACTCTTTCTGGAAGGGAGTTTAGTTTCCATGTAAGCTTCCAAAATAGATAAAATTTAAGGCTAAGGTGCAACCGACAACTTTTGCGGACACAAAATTTCGCCGTCTTTGATTATGAGACAATCAGAAAGCAAGTTTCAATAACAAATCTCTTCCAGTAAAAAAAAACAAAGAATCGATAAGGCCCTTGGATGCAAGTAAGCCTTTGAAACTGCGAAAAAAAAATTCCAGGTTTTCAAAGTGTTTAAAGGGGTATCAATGTAAGCATGAGCATTATCTTTTGATGTATCGACTTGCTTGATTCCCCGCATTAGTCAATACCGTTCAATATTTCTTTCAGAAATGGCGCGATATGTCACGTTGCTGACCACTGTACGGCACTTGGGACGAAGCACTAAAATGAGGTCTCAGCCCTCCGTATAGTAAACTGCAATGGTGTCTTGCAAGATTGCTTTGTTATAATAACATACCGATAGATTTTTGAAATTTTTGGACACTACATACATGTGATCTTCATAGTGACTTCTAGATGGAAGGCCTTTGAGGTCTCGTTTCCATGATTCGTCACTAGCCCCCTGATATTGGCGACCGTGAATTACCGACATTTTTGAAAGTCGTGTATATGGATGCATCATTCTTGTCAATATTGACACTATTTTGCGATACGAGTACAATGTAGATTACCTTTACATTTTCCATTTGATTTGATAACAATCAGCGCATTATTCATGCACGAAATTCTCTTCATGATGCAAATGTTAGGATAAGTCTTATCATCTGAACCACACACTGGCTTCACTATCTTCGCACAAGATKTCGGACACACACATGTTGGTTGGTTGTTAATCACCTTACAGACGGAGTATGGTAGACCAGTACAGTTCTTTTGAGAGCATGTTTTTATTTCTATTGCAGAATGTTCAGTAGATTATGTCAACAAAATGAAAAGAAAGAGTATAGTGAAAAATAGTATTATAATGAGAATAGCATCACATATGATGCATACAYTTGATTACCTCTACATTTTCCATTTCCTTTGATAGCAATCGTCACATTGTTCTCACAGGAAATTTTCTCCAGGACGCATTTGTTAGGGTACGTCTTACCATCAGAACCACATACCGGCTTGAGTCTCCTTGTACAATATGTTTGGCATGTGCAAGTTGGTTGATTGTTAATCATTTTACAGATCATGTAGGGAAGACTAGAACAGTTGTTKTGATCACACGTTTCTGGTTTTTTRGTTGTTKGTAAAGAAACATTTTCTGAAAATCATAAGAAAGGCCCATTATAATTTGATCTTAATAGAAAATTCAAACATGCGATGCTTGATTTCTGTTCACCTTTGCATTTTCCATTTGCTTKGGTGATAATCATYTTTTCATTTTCGCAGGATGTTTTCTCCATGATGCAGGAGTTAGGATATGTCTTATCATCTGAACCACAGACAGGCTTGAAAATTTTGGTACAAGATGTCGGACAAGTACAAGTTGGTTTGTTATTTATCATTTTACATGTCATATATGGCAAACCAGAACAGTTCTTTTGGCCACATGTTTCTGGTCCTGCATCTTCTTTTTTATACGGGGAACTTTCTAGGAAGAAGTAGAACAACTAAATGCAACACAAAATGCATTATATATTCTTTCTTTAAACCTTTACCTCTGCATTTCCGGTTTGCTTTGATGGTAATCATAGTTCCATTTTCACAGGCAATTTTCTTCATAATGCATGCGTYAGGATAAGTCCTGTTATCTGATCCACAAACTGGCTTGAAAATCTTTGCACAAAATGTCGGGCAAATGCAAGTTGGTTGTTTATTGACAATGTTGCATGTTGAGTATGGCATTCTTGTGCAATTTTTCGTTACACACGATCCAACTGCAATTTAGAGCGCATATAATACCTCAGAATTTATTTGTTATGGCCTTTTATAATAAAATGCATGTTTATGGTACTTCAGCTTTTAGGAAATCATCATTATAAATGAAGCAAAGTGAAATTAAAGCTACTTACTTGAACAGTTCCCCATGTGCTTGAGTGTAACAAGTTTATTGTTATAACATGAATATCTTTTCATCAAGCACTGGTTGATATACGTTACTCCATCGGATCCACAGACCTGGTTKCGGTCCAAGTTGCAGTTTGAGGGACACACACAGAATGCTTTGTCACCCTGAGTCTGACAAACTGAGTAGTGTTTGCTGGAACAGTCTTTAGTCTCACAAGTCTCTGGTATKAAATATATCGGAAACTATTTCAATAAGAAATATCTTAATTGAGATGAATTACGTGGTTTTAATAGAACTTTTAGGGGGGGTGTGAAGGGCTTTCATGAGGGGGTTCTTGGCTTCTTTTGTCGCTCTCTGTGAAGACTATTAAAAAGGTAATTGACTGCAAAAATTGTATAAGTAATGTTTTGGATATAAACACCTAACAAACCGTTGCACTATCCGAAAATGTGTTAGCCTAAGGCTATTGATAGTTTCATATTTCCAAGACATCGTCTACATATATACATGGAAAAGTGATTACAGAACCCCTAATCAGGCCCTGCACACACCTCTGACTCTGACTTTGCCTCAAATTATAAAAATAATTTGCATCTAGAATCTGTTCTATCTTTAAGGTGCAGTTGTGCAAAAAAGATTAATTCTAACACCGTAAAAAAGTAGGCGCATATTAGAGAAGGTCTTTACTCCGACGAAGGATTAACGTCACTAATGTTAGTAGGTTGTTTCAACTCCTTTTTTACGAAGTAGAAATTTGTCTTTATGCACAACTGCTGCTTTGGAAACGCCGACGTAGCTCATACTAGTTTACGTCTAGTTTCTACCATTTTTAAGGTACCTCTACATTGTCCATCATAGGCAACTGTTATTCTCACTTCTGTCTTACATGATATCATTTCCAAATGACATCTTGTATCGTAGGTCTTCTTGTCAGAACCACATACTGGCTGTTTATACGTTGGGCACTTGTCTTTGCATACACAAGAAGGCTCTTTGTTGATTAATTTACAATATGAGTATGGCTTTTTGTCCAGCACACATGATAAAAGTTGGCAGCCAACTGAAATAGAAACATGAAAAAGTAGCTAAAAACGTGAAGGTGTACTTCTAAGAATTTGCCTCAGTGCACAAATCAGTCATTTTTGAACATATTGGATTCCTTTGATTAAGCATGCTATCCGACAATAGGTTGATAAGACTTTGAGCCTCAATGATATTCAAGGACAGAACTTGACTTAGTCTCYCCATTATTAGTTTTTCAGTCATACCCACCAGATCTGCCACATCGTCCGTTCCGCAGTTTCCTCACAATCTTGCGATTTCGACATGATTGCATATGCATCTCGCACTCGTTTGGATATGTTTTCCCATCTGATGCACAGACAGGACGGTAGATCCTTGCACACCACCTTTTGCACACTCGTCTGTAGCACTTTGGACTTCCGAAAATGTTCTTACAAATGTGATGAGGTCGACAGGAAATACGTTCACAGCCAAATTTACTATCTGGTAAATAAATGATAAAAATTTGTTATTGTCCATGCTGCTTGAATGGACAACGTTGAAAGAGATCCAGGTTGGTGAGGCTATTCCGTCTGCATGAGAAATTCATAGAATAATGTTATGTTTTTTGTCATATGCTCGTCCGGGAGCCCATAACTTTTYCGACGATTCTGTGATACTATTTCCAATGTTTCCTGGACATTTTTTTTTGACAAGTGGTCATCATTGTTTATATTTCATTGCATTATATAAAGACCAGTTTTTATTTTGGTATTGTATAAGCAAACAAATTTGTAATTACTCTAAACAGTCATAAACCCGTCGTGTAATTTGCTTCCTTTCCACCTTTAATATATGTTTAAAAATTATGAAAAGGCAAGAGTCTTCACAAGAGGAGCCGGCGGGGTCTGTTCTTCTAAATAACTGTTCTTGTACGAGTTTTTTTCTGGGAGAGAGATTTTGAGCAATCTCACGAGCAAATGTGGCGCCCTTCCTTCTTTAAAGTAATTTTGTTCCTGGCAAACGTTTTTAAGGTCAAAAAGGATTACATTTTTTTTAGTTGGGAAATTTTTATTTTCCTGGCAAAAATTCTTAGAAAGTATTCCTTGTCTGGAGAGTTCTTTTTGCCTTAATTCTTCGCTGGCAACCAGTTGTAATATACTTACAGCCGGCTGGTACAAAAGAACAGATATATTTCTCCCAGCCTGTCTTCACAACAAGCAGGTAGGGGTAAATGGAAGAAGAACCATTCGCTTCATCAAGGAAACGAGACGGTGTCCGCACCAAGTAAGARCCCTGTTATTGGCACATATTGATTATTCACACTACAAGTGTGGTGAGATATAGATGTRAAGTTATTACCTATGCATCTTCCTGGGATCACAACCTTTATCTTAGTATTAGTTTCGCATGCCTCACGTTCTCGTTCACAGTTACTTGARTATGTACGRCCATCATCGGCACAAACAGGCTGATAGACTCTCGGGCAGAACCTCCGACAAGCACGGACACATCTTGGTTGCCTCGTCTTTAACTGGCAGTACATTCCTTTTGGGCATTTCTTCCTCCTGCAAGCTCCTCTAACAGCTTAAAAATGCAATAAAATTTGATAAAGAACGCAACTAAGAAAATTATAACTCTGCTACTATTTAATTTAGCTACCGATAAGGATTATAAGAGACTGACAATAATTCGGCATTCAGTAAAGTTTTACATAACGCTCGTTCCACTCCCTCCCTCTCCTCCCCTTAGCAGTGTTGTAAGCATTCAGCATGTGTGTTTGATGTTCGTAACACAACTATGAGCGATGGGGGGTTGGAAGGGACGTAAGCAAATGTACAAATTCTGCGCAATCTTCGCAAAATGATGCGATTTTATACATACATTGTCACCCTTTCTGTAAAAGATTTTAAATTTAATATATGAATTAAATTACCTCGACATCTCCCTTTATAAGAAACAACAATATCCAAGTGCTTTATGCACATTAATCGTTCAAGTGTACATTGATTGCTGAAGGTTTTTTGATTGGTCCCACATACAGGCTTGTATATYCGCGGACAATGTAATTTACATCTTTTCCGGCTAACACACCTCGTTCTACCACGAATTATYTTACAAATGGATGTTCCAGGACATTTCACTCTGCTGCATGCTGGAATGAATAAATACAAATATAAGCATAATTTCATTCGGTTGATTTTTGATCCATCCATAGTTTGGCAAAAATTCCATACCTCCCCTTCTACCGCAAGGACCGGCATTTGCGATGGTGATACGAACATTCTCGTTACAKGAGCTTTTCTGCATCTCACACTTGTTTCTGTACGTCTGTCCGTCCGACCCACAGACCTCCCTTTTGAATGGATAACATCTAAAGGTGCAAACACACTCAGGCAGCCCATTGTCATCCACCACACACCTGGAGTTGGGCGGAGCTGTACACTCGTGCGTGTTACAAGGATCTTAAAAAAAGGAAATTGATTCTTGTAATTTTTTACTTAGACCCTGTTTACATGAGATAGGGTGCCCCCATGTGTTGARCCAAACTCTTTTGTTTTATCCTCCAGGGAAAAGAAAACAAAGGAGTTAGCCCTACCACGTACGGCTTAYTCCTTAATAATGGTGCTAGAGTACTAATAATAGTAATAGTACTAGAGTGCTATATGTATTATTTACAAAATAAACTCCGTTTTTTGTGTGGCTGTACTTTTTAATAGATACACAGTCGACGTAGAAAACAAATGACGAAGAAAAAAGTACGCCACAAGACGAACTCGAGAYAAGTCTGTACGGAGAATTGYCACAAAAACCATACATGCACAGATGTATGAAGTTAGTGTAGTGTGTACTTACTGCATCGTCCTCTGTGAACCATAAGTATTTTCTTATTCTGTTCACAAGCACTAAGGTCAAGCAGACATGGATTGTTATACGTATTTCCATCAGTTCCACAAATAGGTTCGTCCTTTTCRCCACACTTTTTTGGGCAATTTCGCCCTGCAAAACAAAATCAATKCATTAAAATCTCATTATCGACTGAGTCACGAAAAAAATTTATGGAATGCGAAAACAAGTGCAGGCAGAAACTACGATAACACTCTGCAATGAGACAGCCGATTTCAATTGTCACAATGAACTGTAACGCGCTTAGCTCGCTGTTGACAACATTATGCAAGGTCCTGATGACGGGGTTTTGAGCCCAAACGTGATGATATAGATAGCTTGAATTRAAAGCAGTCATCACTTGTAATTAAAAAGATAACAAAACCAATAGATATATCTAGTTGACAGAAGTATGAAAGGGAACTACCACGCTTATAAAAAAAAGAAAAAAAAAATGTGTATCACACTTTATTCAAAGTTCAACTTGTGGGCGAAACTCGGTAAAAAATATCAGTATAACTTTTGCCTTAAGGTCTCAAAACGTTTCTTTTTTTATAGTAACGTCTGGTAAGCGAGACTACTCGGTGTATTTTAATAGTGGTCATACACGAGGTCAAGAGGGAGTTGAAATAAACCGTTCGCAATTCATTCAGAAGTTTTAAGTTGTGTCTGAGGACATTTCCCTTTTTTTACGATATGATAACTAAGCTACTTAACTAAAGGCTACTCAAATGTGCATGACACCGTTCTTAATGTCGAAATCCTATATGTCTCCATCAAGGGCGCTAGAACTGAAATTATGACCTATAAGATCCAAAAATTGTTAATTTATCCAACATAAGATAGTCGATAATAAATTGTAAAGTTTTACTTATCTGAAATATACACTGATTGGGAAATGTCCTCTTAGACACTAAAAAAGACTTGATTTTACGAAATTCATCCAAATGATCGTTACTCAAGCGGTTGTTGCTGAATTTATTACCGCTGTCCTTGTTGTACCAGCCACTGCTGTCTCGCCAGGAACGTTATTCATTAACCGGCTAAAATCACTTTGGTGTTCGGCCAGGACAAAGTGATTTTAATCCGGTTAATGAATAACGTTCCTGGCGAGACAGCAGTAGCTGGTACAACAAGGACAGCGGTAATGAATTCAGCAACAACCGCTATGAGAGTTTGAGTAACGATCATTTGGATGAATTCCTTAAAATCAAGTCTTTTTTTGTGTCTAAGAGGACATTTCAGTGTATATTTCAGATAAGTAAAACTTTACAATTTATTATCGACTATCTTATGTTGGATAAATTAAGCAATTTTTGGATCTTATAGGTCATAATTTCAGTTCTAGCGCCCTTGTCTCCATTTACTATTTTCTTCGCATTGTTATTTTTTGATTGACACTACAATTTTATAGGCGGGACCGAGTATTATAAGAGTTGAAATGTTGTGAGTTACGAGTTTCGAGTTGGATCAACCTTTTCTAAAACGTCAATTTAATTTTAGCCGACTTTGATTTAATCTTGATTTTAATTTTAGCTGGCTTTGCTTTGTTTTGTTTTTGGCTCTTTGGTGAAATCGGCAACTCGAACTCATACCTTGTTACTCGTAACTCGCAAAAATCATAGTTCTCACCGTTTCCACTCTCTTGTATCACATTTACATGTCTTTTTATTGCTATCATCAGGTAATTATTGTCGTAATTGCAGTTTTATCGTTGTTGCAGACTATCTTACATTGCTTTAAAGAATGACCATTCAAAACTACATCATAGTCAAAGGGTTAGGTGTCAAATTGGGCTAAGTTTCATGTATCAATTATGTGTAGTATTTAGGAAAGTTGTACAATATAGTAATATAGATTTTAAGAGGAATTGTTTATCGGCAGTTGTGGCGATAGCCATATGTGTATAAAAACATCTTGAGATCATATAATTTAGATTAAGGGTTACTAAATAAATCAAGGTTCATTCTTTGATGAATCTTTAATTATTCTCAAAATTTGACAACACAGGCAGCCTTATTAGCCTCGAAGTCATACGTAAATTGATTGTTTATTCTATTGTTTTAGCCATATGTGTATAAAACACCTTTAAGATCATATACTTTAGATTTAGGGTTACTAAATAAATCAAGGTTCATTCTTTTAATAATGAACCTTTTTAAAAAATGCCTAGCCTCGAAGGCATGTGTACTTCGATTGCTTATTGTTTTTTCGTCTGTTTGTTTGTTTGTTTTTTTATCACAGGAACGAGGCTATTCCTGCATGTACTGGAATTTTAAGAATAGTCATACATTTTGAGTTATGAAATATTATCGGTTTTTTTTTACCTTTTTTTTTCACTAACCTTGTAATATGTCATGTAATATATTCAAAAACTCATGCATAATTAATGAGTTAGTAGGCCAATAGAATGAGCCTATTTCTATTGGTCACATGCATGGACCTTTATATCTGATAAAACACTTTTTATTAGTATTCTTTTTATTAGTATTTTTAGGGTGACCTTTATCAGATATAAAGTTCCATGACCCTAGCAAAGGTCTCAGGTTTGATACCTGATCATTGACCAATGCAGGATGTCAACCGATTGCAGTAAACAGACAACAGCGCATGATGAGTTTGACAACCAATTCGAAAAACCAATATACACCCTTTTAATAAGTCCCGAGGTATTGTTTTCTCCGCACTTGACGTCAAATTTATTCTTTTGAAATTTTACAATACAAAAGGAATTCAAAAGAATAAATTTGGCGTCAAGTACGGAGAACGTAATACCTCGGGACTTATTAAAATGGTGTATTGAAAGGGTTGTCAATTTAAACTACTTTCCAATGTTCCCATGTCACGTGTCTTTGTTCTACACGAGCAACATTATCTAATGTCTATTCAGTTTTTATAGCAAATGCCTTGTCATTTCTCCACTAAAACGCATCTGGTACTCTACGCGAGCATTTTACTCGAATATTTTGCATGAAGTTTAAATATTTTACATGAAAGTGAGTAAGTATTTTCATAAATCGCGTGACGATTGAAACATTGGAAATTAGGTGGACAATCTTCACAAGATCGGTTGAGGATGTCATTTTGATCGATTTAAGGTTGTTTGGTCATCTTCTGAAGACCTTGTAACTGTAAACTGCTTCTAATAACCTAATAAAACCGTCAATGGATCGAATACCAAACACTTCAATATATGATTAGAGACGTGCACAGTCTGATTGGAAACAAAACGGTATTAAAACGTTCACACAACGACAGGACTTCAGTTAAACTTCTTATGGACAGACTCACATGTGTTTTTCATGTTAATAACACAGTATGATTCGGATAAGAGCCATTATGAAAGGCATTTTATCACGCACTTCAATCACAGAGCACGCAATAATTATCAGATTCTCTGCACACGGTTTCAATTAATAATTAATCAAAATTTCAAAGAAACTACTGTACAAATACTACCGATTAGATTAAAAAAATGCGGACCAATTTCAATTCGATTTTCTCCCTAGTTCCAGGATTGTCTTGTACTTCTTTAATACGCA